AATAAGATGAGATATAGCCCAATAAGATGAGATATAGCCCAATAAGATGAGATATAGCCCAATAAGATGAGATATAGTCCAATAAGATGAGATATAGCCCAATAAGATGAGATATAGCCCAATAAGATGAGATATAGCCCAATTTTGTTAGTTAACTTTTTCACGGATTTATGGAATGCACTCTATCCGCCAAAAATCAAGAACATCAAAACACTAAACCTTTCAATATCTTTTATTTTTATTTAATAATTTACACCGTTTTCACTTCTGACCCATTTAACTTAATTACTAGTAAGATAAAAAATAACAATTTTGTGAAGAACTGGAACGGTTGAAACCACAAATTTCTTTGACAAATTATAAAACAACTTGAAGGAGCACTAGAGTGCATACCATATAGTCCGTGAAAAACGTACGAAATACTGAAATTTCATTACAAATTAGTAAGTTCAGTAGACCTACAAAACTTTGCACTAATTTGTACGATTTTGTTAGTTAACTTTTTCATGGATACATGTTATGCACTCTAATGCCTGGAGAATCTGTCTTTCTTTACTTCCTTATTTAAGTAAACCAGAATCCTTCATCTCATAGCCGCTTTGGCTAGTGGGTCCCCCCTCTCTCCTCCTCCACTCTCCAAAGCGCCGCAACGCAGGCTATTCAACTCAAGGTCGAGGAGACCCAGGTGCCGCTGAACTCGTAAAACAATAATTTAATAACGATCGGAAAATGGGATTTTTTTTGGAAAGATAACCCGTGCCAAGTTTTGTCATCATGATTGTGAGGGTTTTCCCTGAGTCCTACATCAATCTGCGCAAAGCTACGTCACACAACTGATTTGAGACAAAAATGTATGACACGTCAACACGACCAATCAACGCCAAAAATCTCAAGATTGAATCTTTAAATAATTTGAATCTAGTCCAAGACGTGCATCTGTGCTGCCAAATCATCACCCTGAATTGAGGATCGGGCGATGTTGCTAGCTTCAAGATGCTTGATAAAACATGTAGCAATCATAGTAGGAGAACACCCTCGGGAATCCAGAGGTAAAATTCTGTCGCTCGTTTCTCGCTACCAAAACATTTTTTTCTAATTTTTGTTTTCTTTTACCCCTGGGTTGACGAGGATGAGTAGGGAGAGACACGAGGAAGCATGATTTTACCGGAATTGGGTTGTGCGCTTGTATTTTAACCACCGCGATAAACTGATATCAACGAGTGACGGTCGCCTGTCCTTAAACTAAGTACCATCGCTTATTTTTCATTTTTCTTGCCATCAAAAATCACCAAAAAATTTACAATACAACTAATTACTAAATTCAACAATTATAGCTCTAACTAGAACACATTAAATTAATTACCAATAAACATTTGCTGAAATGAACGAGCTGTCCGACCGACTTTGCTCCTTTCCTCGTTTATTTGACGTTTGAACATGTGACTCTGCCTGCAGTAATGTCACGACAGTCTCAGACTATCGAGGTCACACGACTTAACTCTTTTCTACTTTATTTTGTATCCTAGTTGAAGCTGGAAGGTAGCCTTCTCTTGTGTAATTGTTTTCCGTGCTTGGTTTTTCGAGGGCGTGGGTTCCCTGTCTTGAATACCCTCTCGGCCTAAGCCAGTAGAATGCAAGTACAAATAAAGGTAACCCACCCAAGAAAACACAACACGCAGAAAAAACAACCCAAGTGAAGACATGATACCTTGAAGCCTTTTAGTCTGCTTACTCTAGTCCTAATACCAGCGATGCAATGCCTTTCTTCTTAGGAGTGACTTATTCTTTCTTGAAGCTGACGAAAGAGGTCAAACTCAGTGTGCAGTCATCGAAAAAGACATCCATTCAACAAAACTTAAAAGCCTTGAATTTTAAATATTTAAGTCAGTGATAAAACGATAAAAAGCAAAACTTACAAATATATTAGCTCAGCAATAATTCTGTTTTAGATTCTAAAATAATACATGCTTTGATAATGAATAAAAACGCAAGGTGTATTATAACCGTCTGCAGTGCTCTACACTGATTACACTCCACTCTCAGTGAAATATGCTTGTGATCTATTGGTTGTTTCACTACGACTGCGCAGATCTAGATGGCGAGGAGGTCTGGGGACTATAAGAATGACAATCGGCTTCGCTTGCCCGTCGAATCTCGTACCCAGAGTCCTCCGAAGTCTCCCTGCTTTGCGCCTGAAGAGAGAGTCTTTTTGTCGCAAGTCCGCTGACCAAAGAGAGGAAACTGGGCTCAAGATTGTTCACAATTAAACTCTTATTGGAACTCTTATCTTAATGTCACCTTTTCGATTGATAACAAAAAGGTCTGGGAACGAGGCTGCTCTTAAATGCACCTGATGTTAGTGCGCATGCTCGACGAAAGAATGTGGTTAGGAAATCACGTCAATCGAGAGTTGATCCCTTTCTAGTTTCACCTTATCAATAAAAGGTGCTGCCTAACGTCAGTCCAATAAGGGAGTGGTCTATCAGTGTGGAACCCACGACATGCGGTCTCTAAAAAACCCAACTACCTCAAGTATCTACATTTGTGCAGTTCTTTTAAAATCTACGAATAAAACTTTAACTTGCTACCTATTTACAAATGTACTTACAAATCTTAATATGGGTCAAGCATCTTCGTTAAAATCAAATTTTGTGCCATATGACAAGACTTCATATTCAATTTTCAGGTAAGATTATTATGCGTTCTGATAGAATTATGAGAACCAGCGACTTATTCTAAAATATTTTTACGGACGTTCAAATTTAGTTTACCGAGTTCAAATTATTTTGTTTGGGAGCCGAGGTTTTTGTTAAGAAAACTGAATGTTTGCTACAGAGCGACCTTAAGTAGCATCTGATTGAAAACCTAAAGTGGAAAAAAACAAGATAAATGAAAAAAATCGTCCCATTTTGGCACTGGACCACTAAAGAATGTTTCTTATGACGGTGGAAAAATACGCAATATTGACGACCATTTTGGACAATATAGGAGAAAATAGGATTCGAAGTTATGAAAATATTGTTTGGAAACGAAGTGGGATAACCGACAAGGAAGATACACATCAAACAACGTCCGGCGGGTGCAGTAGTTTGCGCAGCAAAACAAAGCATTAATTCTACCTTTTGTCAATTAATTTAACCCCTTTCGCTTAAAATATACTTACTTATTAAAATAAAAGCATCGTGAATTCTGTTTGGAAGTTGCAGTGCTTTGGGCTGTGCAGCTTTGTCACACTCACGGGAGATGCACTCACGTCATGTGACTTGCCTACTTGACCAATCGGGATCGAGGAATGTTTTCAGTTGATTTTTTGGTAAAGGTGATTGGGGACGAACTCTGAAACCCGTCACGTGGGGAAAGCTATCGACCAATCAAAATTGACAATTAAGGTTATTAGAGATTCCAAAACAATCAAAATATAATCAAGAAAAATTCCCCGCTCGGCCGGTTAACCTTCTTGACTGACAACCCAAAGCACCGACTTGTGGCTAACTATCTACACTAATGAAATCATTTAAAGTAAAAATGCCTGACCGTGTTGCTATAGAACGATACAACAGCGACACATACGAGTTCGTCCTCCTTCCACGCTGGGGGTAGGGGTGATGGGAGCGAAATAGGCTTGTACTTTGACGTATGGTAATGATGCCTGAAAATAAATCATACATGACAAGAGTCAATACTGAAATCAACTGTTCTCTGAAGTTGGACTGGAACAAATCGTCATCTAACGATACACATAATACATCAGTGGCGGATCTAGGGGTGGGTTTTGGGGGTTGCAACCCCCCCCCCCCCCCCCCCCCCCCCCCCCCCTTGAAAAATCCTGGATCTGCCCCTGTACATATACAGGTATTTCAAAAAAGGTTGAAGGGGTGAATGACAATCGGTTATTGGCGATTGCACGACCGAAAGGTGACTGTGGACATACATTTATTTCAAAAAACGTGGTCAGTCGGAGAATTTTGGGGGACATGAGTGTTTTCTCGTTATAAATTCAAAATACTCTTAGCCAGACAATTCGCCAGCGCAGGTCAACGCTCAAAGTTAGCCTATTTAGATATGAACTTGTTACAAACTAATAAATAAAATCACAAAACAATTAGACCTCCAACAGACGTTTTTTGAAATAGATGTATTCCTCTAAACACGAATAATTGAGGTGTTTTACATGGTTTCGTCGACTACAAACAACACTAAATATCCCAACAATAAACTCTAACTGATTTTACTTGTCCACCGTTTTATCGGTACATGGGCTAAGTCGGTAAAATCAAACTGACTGACTGACAAACCTGGAATTTTCGTATGCCCGCCTTGGTGATTAATTGACAGTCATATAGTTCTATTCTTCTAAGCTTGCGACATTGCCTTTGGAGAAAACACAAAGAAGAAGAATGAATGAAGTGAATAAATACGTGAAATAAGATGGAGTAAAAGATGGCCGAACGAAACCCGACAAACGGACGAACACACGAAGTCAGGGATATTTTTTGAAACCAATTCATCCGGTTGCGAATTTGTTTGCTATTGGTAAGAAAAGAGCGGGAAACTTTGACTTCCGACAAATGGTACACGCGTCTACCGGAAGAACCGAAAAGAGCGGGAAGTGGATTACCACAAACGAAAAACCGAGTTTCCGAAATTTTTTAAATTTTTGTTTTTCCAACCGGAATTTCCGGTTTTTCCGGGTAGGTGGTAAGCACCCCAGGCTTTCCTTTGACGACCTTACATGTTGCGTTAGACGATGCTGTCTGGGATGTGATGGATGTTACACTGACATAGTAACTTTTCCAGCAACAAAAATCTATGACAAGCGACATCTGCTCTTGTTCAGCGCTACACGGAAAAGTCATTGCTTGCATGATTGCAGACGTTTTTGCGCAATGAAAATTGCACTATCTTTGCGGAATAATACATTGCACGTCACTGGGCAATTTTGCACCATTGGTGAGTGCGGGCTTTAAAATGAGTATGAAAGGAGAAAAAATATCCCATTTAAGGGCATTAGTAATACATACAAGAGATAATCTAGAGCGTTGTCCGTGATGAGGGGGCAGTTGTCAAGCTCTAGGTATTCCAAATGATCAGTAGAACAAGGACTGGCTCCTAATTGATGAATGCCTTCGTCTGTGATCAGTTCACAATGGGACAAACTCTGAAATACAAATCCATGTCAAATATCATTAATTAAAGACTGGATTTACTAGAAACCATTTCTGGACTCCCGTCACATATGAGTAGTGTTTTTTTAAGGCTCCACGGTTTCCTTCCTCCGCAAAAACCTAACAAGTTTAATTCCAATTCCATCAGTGAGTTACCTGTGCCCTGACTTTGATCAGCTTAGAGGTTTCAGGGTATCGATAAAACTTACTGGGTCCCAAGTCGACTGTAAATGAACTGCAGTTTTTTACTTGCACGATTTTTGAACAAGTTAAACCTCGACTTCTACCTACTATATATCTTACACCGTGAAGCAAATCTCTATGAAAGTATAACGAATGACCTCTAATACTTTTCTTCCTTTAGAAGAAGACTCTATTTACAGAGGGTTGCACGAAATAGCGCCGAAGCTAATAAACTTGTGGCCCTCATAAAATTCAACATATGATGATGTTTTGCTGAATTACGTCCCAAAAAATTCAAGATATTCTAATTCCTATCCGAATCAAAAGCATTAAAAAATTTTTTTTTATGCTGTTCATCGGTTACATTCTTGTGTGCGTTTTTCTTTTTTTATCCGTAGGCAGACCTGTCAAGGTCAAATAGTGTGGAATCATTCGTTATCAGGGATGGACCAGTAGGTAATTGAGAGGGAGTAGGCATTGCAGGAATCAGTTTTTGTTGCACGATATTTATTTTTTTTGTGAGGACCCTCCACTAAAATTGTTTGTGTTTGCTCGATATATATTTACCGAAAGGAGGGGTTGCGCGATATTTTTCGTAGGTGAAGTGCTTGCTCGATATATTTTTGGGGATTTACGCAAGCCCCTCCTCAATTATCTAATGGTCCGTCCCTTAATGACTTTGTGATTAGATAAATTATTTGAAGTGGCTGCTGACAAAACCATAAATCACGCAAGCAATAAAAGGACAAGAATGTTTTCCTTGACGAATGTGATTATTTTTAGTCTTACTATTAATTGTAATGGCTTATCCCAGAGGAGGATCCAAGGTTATCCTATTATGCATTGGAAGTGAGATACAACATTTTCCCATGGAAACAACTGACATTAAGATTTTCAAAATTAAAAAAAATCAATTGTACTCTACTTAAAGTAGAGCGTACGTCTGCCTTTAGCGATATCTGTTTTCTACATCGCTTCAAGAAATGTAGAGATACTCGTCAAGATACTGGAGTACTTTGGGGTACTTTCAGGTTCAGTACAGTCCCTACAACTGGGTGGTACTTTTATTAGCCAAATTAGTCAAACGGCATGTCTTCATCAAATGCCAGAGAGATTTTACTTCGCCTGTGAAAGAATATTCAACGTAATACATAGAAGCAGGTAAAAAATTCAATTGCTTACTTTTGTTTTACTTGGACTGTTAAGTCCGTATTTACACAACTTTGTTTCACAGGCAAAGTAAAATCACTATAAAGCAACACCTTAGTATTAGTATTAGTATTCGTAGTACAGAAGTATCATTAGAAAAAGATGCACAAAAAAACGGTTGAAACCAAAGAAAACAATGATAAGCTCGCAAAGGCACTTGGGATAGCCCTGGATCCTCCTCTGGGCTTATTTGGTGGGTATAACCAAACCAGTATGAGACTTACCAGTTTTTGCAAGCCACTGCACCATAGGGATAAGTGAATGAGAGTGGAATCTGTGATCTGGAAGAAAAGTAAGGGTTAATACGTGCAAATAGTGCAGAGAGAGACAACAATCTATAATAGAGTGCAAACAATATAACCGTGAAACTTTAGTAATACTAAATAGCACAATTTCATGCAAATTCCATTGTTTTCTATTGTTTAATTAGCACTAGTTTGTACTATTTAGTAATTAGTGTTTCACAGATTAATTTTTTGCACTCTAGTACTACTCATTGGTACAAAATAGCACCAATGAAACAATCTATTGAAGACAAAAGAAATAGGTGTGTTTAGTGCTATTTAGTTTTGGTGCCATTTTACAGATATATAGTTTGCACTCTAGTAATCTCAAGATAAAAGAATGTAAATGAGTCGATTGACTCTAAAAAAAGAACCACACAATTAGTTAATTAAGGTTACTACAATTACATATCTAGAGCCTTCCAGATCGAATTAGAATTTAGAAGTTGATTTTTGACTTACACGAGTGCATTCCTCTAAGTCCATTCTTTGCAGATCGTGGCATCCCTGTAGACATATTTAACAAAAAACCCACAATATTTACATCTTAAAGCTGCTAAGATGACATAAAAGTTGACACGAAGAAAGTTTTGGATGGGGGGGGGGGGGGGGGGGGGGGGGGAGCTAATATTGCAGAAAAATTAGAAATAGAAATATTAAAAATAAACGAATAAAATTATTTAATGAAAAAACTGTTGTGAAGTATGATCGTCTGGGTGGGTGCAGTCTTGAGAAGTCCTCTTTAGAGTTTAGTGAGAAATCAAAAATTGCAGCAAAATTGTTGGTGGGGCTATAAGTCCTATACTAACCCTACAAAGAGCTTGAAAACCTGCATCAGTAAACTCCACACACTGAGCAGCCTCTAGAGTCCTGGAAACAGACACATGATTAACCAATGAGAACACAGGAATTCAAATGCAAATACAAAAATTGACCAATGAGAAGCTGCAAAATGAAATTTGAAAAACGAGACAAACTAATGAAAATCCTACTTATGAAATAATTTGAACCTTAAAGCCTGATTTTCGTTTGGGACTGAGTTGGATTTTGAATCAGAAGCACTTCATGCATGAAGTTGCAAGTGAAAACCCCTTGTCATACCAATTATACCTCAAGTTCAAGTCCGTTTTTTGGTTTTCACTTTATCATAAGCTGCATTGACTCCTATCCCATTCTGTTCCAAGTGAGAACCTAGCTTTAGGGAAGTGCAGCTTATCCAATGACATTCATAATATTTCACAGATGAATACTTAAAAGATACCTGAGTTCAGGACATCCTAAACCAAGATACTGTAGTGAAGCATCTGTCAGTTGTTTACAGTTTGAGATACACAGGAATCTCAAGTTTTTACAGTTTTGGCTGATGTGCTGTATACCTATATCTTTTATATTCTGCCAAGATAAGGTGATGAATGGTGAGGGTAATAATTATACTGACCGAGAATTAGAAGTGAAGAAGGATAAAAGTGTAGGGGGAATAGAGTAGGGAAGAAGAGGAATGAGAAATGGAAAAGAAATGGAAAAAATGGGAAAGAAAGATAATAGAATGTTTAGAACAGATAATACTGCAGGGCTACAAATAACCGCTGGTCACTGGACAATGGCCAGCCAGCATTGGAACTTGTCCAGTCGAACCTTTGCCTTCTCCAGTAATTTTGAGCCATAGAAAAATTATATGAGCGATCTAAGACTAATTTGACTAGCAACTGCATGACCAGCCACTCTTTTTAGCCCTGTACTAAGAGAGATCAGAAGAGGTACACTAACTGTAGATAAAGAGACAAGGAGAAAAGAGAATGGCAAGAAAAGAGGAGTTACAAGGAACTTAGACAAGGGTAGGATTGAGGGAAAGACAAAACAAGATATAGTGGTAGGAAAGAAAATGAGAGGAAAAGAAAGAGAGATTTACGTTATCAGAAAACTACTTTACACTCACATCACAACTATGTAAATTAATAGTTTGTAGTCCAGTGCATCCTTTGGTAAGGTGAAGAAGGGCATCATCTGTTAACTAAAGACAACAAATACAAATGAAAATAAAACAAAGACATAAAGGAATAATAGCTTGCTTACACATAGATGCTTTCTTGTTGACTTCAGAATATACTACCATTGATGCACTCAATAAAATATCATTCAGAATAAATAAAATACATTGTCCATGTTTTGCTAGGGTAGCACTTAATTAATAGCCAGTGGCTAACAAACCTGTGGCCCTAATACTGATGATCTTATTGGAATTTAGAAGTTGAATTCAGTACAATATGAGAACGTACATCATCAGTTTTTGAAGCCATTCAATAAACTCGCAGATCGTGTTTTATCAGGTCTAAAAACACTCGGCTATGCCTCGTGTTTTTAAATCCTGATAAAACACTCCTGCAAGTTCATTAAACAGTACTTAAAATACAACAGCTTTCACAACTGCTGACCAATAGCTCCCTAGTGATAGCCTAATGAGCATCTGCAACCCAGGGTACCCAAGAATAAACCTGAAGCGTGTGTTAACATCAGAGTGCATGCAAGCATTGTTTTTCCTCTATTACTACAAAGCCCAGTAGACTATAGCCAGCGGCATCTACTAATCTGACTTTCATCAGCTGGAAAAATAATGGAGTGTTTTCTAAATCACATCCAGCTGATCTGAGAGAAAATGTCAGCCAATAAGAATCTAGATAATTTGCAAAACTGAGGTGTCACTTTTCCTCTTGAGATTATGGATTTCCAGGCCACCAAATAAGAAAAAAGGTTGCTAATGAGAGGTTGATGCACAGTCACACAATAACTGAGTTTTATATTTTTATTGTAATAGTGGAAAGGTTTTTATTTTTTGCTGGTCAATTTTCACACCTACTTCATGGCACCTCAGTTTTGCAGTGACATCATTTCTACATCACTATTTCAGATCAGCTGGACAGTAACTTAGATGACAGATATCATACTGTTTGGATATGATAAAAGACTGTCAAGATAGGCTCATTTCTTCGGAGTAACTAAAGTACTCACCAAAATACACCCCTTTGCGCTGAATGTTAATAAGTGTATACATCCTTGTGCAAGACGCTGTACACCATAGTTTGAGATTTGAGAACACCAGGAGATATTGAGGTGATGGAGTTTTGAACACCCACGACTACAAATTAAAAATATAATATTCAGATGCAAATTATCACCCAATTTCTTATTGTGACAGCTAGGTCTCTGGTTTTATTTTTCCTTCATAGAAATCACAGCAAGGGCCCCAGGAATAATATCTCAATGCAAGGAACAATGCCATAAAGTTCCTCTACTGCATTATACCATAGTTAACTATGATTGTACTCTACATTTCTCCTAATACATATCATTTTTATAGGCTTTCCCCTCTTCAAAATTTATCATTTTGCTAGCCTTTAGTCCAGATTGTAAATAATAATGGGGTGATGAATTAATATTTTGTAAAAACTGCTTCAAAAGGGAGTTGTATTGAATACAAATTTACGAATGCTGTGTTAATGATGAGCACTTTTTGTAATGATTTTTAAAGACATAGGGTTAAGATACTATGAGATATTAATATCTTAATAGATCAAAAACAAAGTAATGGATCCATTAACTAAGAAATGCTTTAAAAATACATGCCAGACCACAAGCTATTAGGAATTCAGTATAATGTCTTCTAATTTATTATACTTTATAAATAATATATTAAAGTAAATAGGATTTTTATGACAATGTGTCCAATGAGAAATAAAAAACCTCTTAGCTTTGTAGAAAACCTCCTCTTGGTGTTAAGTGCATAGATATAATTAAGTTTGTACCTGCACTGATGGCAAGAGTGTGGGGGTGGTATTTCCCAATGTCAAGACTGAAACTCTTAAACCCTCCTTACTCCTTGGAAGTTTCAATCCTCTCTTAGGGAAGGTAATAATGTGGCACAGGAGGTCGGCATCACGTTTTACGCATCAATAATTCTAAGATTTACACATAACTTTGAATCTTAACTGAATTTCACTTTCTACAAAATTGATTAATCATTCATGAATCACACACATCGCAGATGAATCACGCATCACAGTAAACCTGGAATTCACGAATCATGCTCTACATCTTGTTATTTTTATATATCACATACTCATTTTAACATAAATCATGTGTCACACATTAGAGGGTAGGGAGAGCCACCCTGAGGTGTGGGGTGGGGAGAGCCACCCTGAGGTGTGGGGTGGGGAGAGCCACCCTGAGGTGTGGGTCGGGGAGATTCACCTGAGTGCAACTAATGAGTCATCAGTAATCTGTCCACAAGATGATACGTCTAGCTTCTGAAGTCTTGTGCAGTATGTACTAAGGCTAATACAGGTGCTAAACATAAATTAGACAAATAATATATTAGGATAGACGTTATAATCTTTAGTATGCAATGGAAGCTCTATCATATGGACACCAAAGGGAGAGAAAAAAGTGTCCATCATATAGAGGTGTCCATCATATAGAGGTGTCCATAATATAGAGGTGCCTTAAGGAGAAATGAGAAGACAAATAGATATAATGCTAAAAAGTGGTCTTAACAGTTTGATATATTTAGATCAAATCCCCTTGAGTTATTTTGGTGTAAATGCAAAATAACATCCACTTTACCAAATTGATTTTTATAACAAAACTGAAAAGTGTTCATAGGTCAATCAATAAAATATCATGAAGATAACTTATGAGACACCTGGGTCTAATACATTAACAATGGATTCATTTTACTTCATTTCCATCCCACATAGATGCCTTGGTTGCCTGGGCTACCTGTGGCATTTTATCACTGAATAAGGGAAGACTTAGGGCAAGGATACACTATCAAAATAATTTCTAAAATAAATAAGGTTGATAGGAAAACAAGATAAGAAGATTACGCTCTTTGTGAAAGAAAGTCTAGCAATTCTTTTGTACTTTCGATCTTATTTCATTAATTTTAAAAGTGTTTGTAAGTGGTTGATAATTTTGAATAGCTTTCAATAAATGCTTTGAATCTTAAAATAAATGATATATTAAAAGCAGAATAAGAAAAAAATTAAAAGTACTTACCTATCAGTAATTCTTTTACAATTTTCTAAAATTAAGTCTTCAATATTTCTACAATTTTGGGAAAATATTCTGAAAAAGTAAAATGAAAACATTTATAGATTAATAATTCAATCTATACCTATTAGTATACTATATAATAATATATATAATATTCATACCTTAAAGCACAATCTCCTATACTTTTACATCCTTGTAGGCTAAGCTGTTTAAGGAATCCTCCACATCGTTTGGAAAGATTCTGAACAACAATTTCCTTTAGTAAAAAAGAACAAATTTAGTGACCTAAATTTATCATTTAAATTATTTGTTATGAGCATTACAGTGCTCATAATGTGCCTTGCATGTTATCTTATTCCAGTTCTTTCTTTTAATATCATCTGAGAGTAACGCATGACAGCTCAGCAGTTAAATGTTTGTTCTGTGTGTGATTAAGCTACGATAAATCAAATGAGAAAGATGATTCTTTAGACCTAAAGTATATATTTAATAACCCTCTTCATCATGGTTTCTAGACTTACCAGTAACCACTCATTAAATCTAGTCAGATTCTAAATCCACTTTTTCAAAACATTTTTAGGGTGATTACTAGCTATAATGTTTAATTTTTAATATATCAATCTATTCAGGGACATTTGAGTTTGATTCCAAGTGTGTCATCAGTTGGAGACCAGTAGAAATATAGGGTTTTATATTATAAATTTCCCATGAGGTTATTGTAGCCAATAACCCTTGGGGAGCATAGCTTGAAGATGGCATCTTTCATTAAGCAGAGACCAGACTAATGTAAGAAATAAAGTTGAGCAATAAAGAAATAATACCTATCCAATGCTTTATTGTCAGCAAAAATCAAAATCAAAATAATATCTTATGAACATTTAAAAAAAAAATTCTCGTTTTTCATATTGTAGTCACAAATTTACGATTATTAGCTAGGGCATATGTTATATTATATGGAAATGCATAATTTATTCTTAAACGAGAAGTAATTATCTTTAACCTAAAATGAGTTGGAATGCACTTCTAGGTCATATTGACAAATTCATAAACATAATAATTAAACTAGTAATACAGTCCTATCTTTAATTTTTCATAGTAAAACATACCTCTATATCTCTTTGAAAGGCAAATAAGTCAACCCTTTGCCAATTGCTGCCATCTAGTGCCAAGACATTCCATAGCTAAAAATAAACAAAAATGATTTCTTTCATTTCTCTCAGTCAAGGTCAGATATCAATTGAATACAGTTTTTCTCACTCTGTTTGACCAAGGTTTAGTTTGCTATCAAGTGAGGTATTCTGGGGTTCAGAGGTGGACATGACCTAGCAGTGTTTGCACAGAGTGACTGTTTTTCAACTCAAACAAATATTGGGATTTTGAACTTGCTTTTTAGGTAGAGCTTCAAAACTCAGAAAAAAAGAAGTCATATAGTACTACTCCCATGCCACAGAACAACTAGTTTTGGGAGGATTGATCTGACTCATATTCAATTTTATAAAAGACACAATTCAAATTGGTTTGAATTTGGCATAATTATGGAGATATATACTTTTTGAAAAATAACAAATTAACATTCACCAATTTTCTGACATTTATTGAACTTAATCTTATCGATCCATTCAAATTTGGGTCATCCTACCACCTTAAAAGTGAATCCTCAGAAAATGGTAACTACTTATTAACATTAGAATAACATATGTCAAATATTAGCAGACAATTAAGGTTACCTTGGAAACTTGGGCACAACGGCACAGTGTTACTACATCAAGGAAGGAAAAGATTCTAAAACATGGAAAAATTTCATATTAAAACATGCAAAACACCAAAATCTGATGACCATATAAATACCCCATACCAGGCATGATTTTAAGCACAATGTTTTGCTCCAAAACAAATGGCTTCACACATTATTTGGTGTATGGTAATAAAAAAATTCTTGACCATCAACAAACAAAGGTGTCTTGGTACATTAAATCTGTCATGATTCAATTCATTTCATAATATGTATCACTTATAATCTTTCTTCTAATACTGGAAACTAAGATTATCATGATTTTCCAATTTCTAGCATTTGTTTTAGTTTGTCTTAACAGCTACAATAAATAAATAATCTACTGAGATATCTATTCCCAAAGTTGCAAAATATGTACAAACTGATGACAAATTGAAGAAATCCAAAATAATAGTGTTTGTAAGTTTACTAGAAATATTTTCTTGATTTTGACAATGTAAGCTTGTATATTTTTTAATACAATAGTATTCCTGAGTTTAGCAGTGAACCTATTTGTAAATAAAATAATGAATTATGATTTGAATATTCCATTTGGTAAAATTCTTTGAATTATTCATAAAATGATAATGAAAGGGAAACACTTTATATTCATTATAATCAACGTAAACAAATAACACACTCAAATAATATAGAATAATATCAAATATATACAGCCATATAGAAAAAACTTTGACCCTTTCTCAAAAAGTATTTAAAAAATATAGGATATTTTATAAGCCTGCGTAGCGGCACTTTGAAGAAAGCACAGTTATGCAGGCTACAATATATATATATATACATTTATTTATTATCTGAAAATAATAGGTCAAGGCATTTGCATATGGCTGCATAATATGTATATAAGCAGACATTTTCCCAGTTTTTCAATTAGCATTTAGAAAATAGGAATGAAATGGGAAAACTTTCTTTCATTTCTTTCACGCAAAAAGTGCCCAGATATTGGAATTGTTCTACATATTATTTAAAAATACTCCATTGGATTATTAATAAGGTTGATTGTTTCTTTTGAAGTAAGGGACAATAACTGTATATGAATGAAAATAACCTATGTTGTCATTTGTGCTTAATACCTTAGAATAAGCTCTTTTGGAAGTTTTTTGTTGATTAACGCCTGATCTTCATTGGTGTTGAACTGCTGAAGCTGAAAAACAAGAAATTATCATTTCAATGCGACTGTAGAGCTTTAATTTACGAACCAGCCAGACCTAGAAATAGTATAAATACTGCTACCGCAACACAACAAACAATTAACCCAAAAACCGGCCTGCCTACGACTGATCCTTTTAACAATATTCCACGATTTTTATTCTTTAAAACCATGGAGCGAATTGAGTCCATCGACTGGAACAAAACATACAAAATCACTCAAGTGTTTCATTTAAAGAAGGCACATTTTCTTGTCTCACGGGAATTATGCGATTATTATTGTTTTTTCATGGCCAAGAGAAATTTGAGACGAATTCGACGGGACGAGATTGATAGAAATAGCAGACTCTGACATGATTACGAGAAATGTCTTTATTTTTGACAATGTATATTTATCAGATATTTCTTTGGATTGTAAGCTTGTCAGACTCAAATAATTGTACGTAAAGGTTCAAAATATACGGAGTTTTATAGGTTCAACTTTGATCTTATTTTCGGTTAGAGAACAGCTTTTTACAACTCAATAAAATCCATCAAGATTGGTGTGGGAAAAAGGAAATCACCGCTACCATAGCCGATAGAAAGTCTGTCGGAAATTTTTAACAATATTTTCGAAGTGCAAAATCTGAATGGAATTAATCCAACATTCCATTTCTAATCTCTAATAAAATAAAATTTAAAAAACAGAGTTATTCTGGGATGGAATAATAACAATACTGCTCATTCAAACGAAGACAAGCTTTGGAATATAAACATCGTGAGATAGTTTTCGCACCTTTTATATGGCCTTTTAGAATATTATGGAAACGACAGAGAAGTCTTGAAAGACTACTTCGAGAAAAGAGATACGATTTGTTTGATATGACGATGGATTTATGGATTACCAAGAGCGCTGTTTAGCTAAGCGACCATTTGCATCCAAACAAAACAAATATCCAAAATTCTCGATGAGATTCGAAACACGCTTTCACATCAACCACGGAAAGAAGATCTGACGACTCGAACGTGAGGTAAAGTGAAACAGCGCCCTTCTGATAAAAAGATGCAGTCTTTATCTTGGTTTGTTCGCTTCTATGATTCCCTGAACGACAGTGTATAAGTCGCTGCTGAAGATGGATTTTCCTATCGCCATGTCTTTCCATCGAAAGAGTTTGGCGAACACACACAATCTTCATACCAACCTCAAACCTACTTCTTGAGTTATTCCTCGAATGGCTGTAGCTATGATTAATACGACCGTTCTGATGGTTAAGGTACATGAATCTGTAGAAGAGTGGTCATGAAGAGGAATTCTTTGCGCTCCCCATGAACTAAAAAACTGCACTTATTCTCGGCTCCAAGGATCTTTTTTTGTATGTGTTTTCCTCTCGTCAAGACGTCACGGAACATGGCATCACGGGTAATCAACAAAACAGCTTCCGGTCCCAACCGGAAGTATTTTCTGAAACCAGAGTTTTCTAAAAACACAGGTAACCCACTCAACTTGGTACATTAATTATTTCCTTTTTAATTTCGTAATTTGCTATCTTTATGTGATAAGTTTTACCACATCTCGAAATAGACATCTCGATAGCGCCATCTAATAATTAATAATTGTAATAATTGTATCCAATTTTAGCCAATTGCCATTTACTGGCAAACATAGAAAGGGAGCCAAACGTGTACTGCAAACAGAAAGGGAGCCAAACAAAGGGTAGGGAAATGGATAGGAAGAACACTGAATGTCTGAGATATGTCAACGAAGTATTAACGTAGACGTCATATCATGCGAGGAGGAGGGCTGTCTCATCCATCATCAGGTGATTTAGAAAATGAGGCATATATGACTCTCTAATCTGATCTATTTTGACTAAGCGTTTGAGAGAACTCTCACTAAACCAAGCACTTTGGTTACTCCTCTCAAGTTTCTCGTTTACTTTGCTTTTCATTGACGTCATGCAGGTATCCGATCAAGTATACTAAACCGAATGCATTAATAGCGTGCTAGGCACCTGTTAATGTCATCCTTATCAGCTTTGAGGCTTTTCAACTCTTTGGTAAAAAGCATGGCAACATTACGAAATTATTGAAAGTGAGAAACGTTTGATTAGATCTCAAAACACCGCCTGCCACCATGTATCAATCTTTGTCCTCAGTTTAGTTGTCCTTTGCAGCATTAAGCATTAAAAATAGCTCTTATAACGCCGAAATCAAATTTTATTTACCAATTTACCAGACCAAACACTTCGTAGGTAGGCTCTTGTAAGCAGTAAATTTACTGTTTGTAATAATGATAAGATACTCACAATTATAACACTAAGTTTTATATTCAAAAACATGAGAAGCACGACGCTTACCTGCAGACGCGCGCTTTCTACTCTTTCAATACAACTGAAATTTTCACTTTAGTCCCCCAATAAAAAATGTGCTCCTACGTCCCTGTGGTTTAAAAAGTTTTCAAATTCCTTTGAAACATTGGGTATCTTGGAGTACAATGCCAACAGAACACGAAGCCCTCAAGACAGACATCATTAGATGATACATCAAGCTGTTTGTAATTCAATTATAAGCCGGTTTTAGTATATATATATATAGTAAAGATTGGATTAAAGACGAGACATGTGAACATGTCTCGTCTTTAATCCAATCTTTACTATATATCTATTGCTCTGCATCCCTACGCATCGAGCACTGTTTCAACAGTATAGACCACATTACATACTTTGTTATATATATATATATATATATATATATATATATATATCTTACCGTAGGACGGCGCATGAACMAACGATGCCAGCGAGGAGTCCAGATATTGGCGCGAGGCATTTTTAAGTCGCCCGATAATGGATTTTTTTAGGTCAGTGAGTACTTTTAATGCCAGAACAAACGGAAGCTTAAGATTTCTATAAAACTCGCATCCTCCTGTAATATATACTTCAGTCTTCGACAGTGTGCGCATAGAAGCTGAAGAAACCTGGAGTTTGTTTTTATAATTTTCTTGCATCGAAATAAGCGTTTTACTGCAGTTTTGTTTACCTTGGCTAATAACAAAAGGAATAATAGACTATTGATGGTTCAGTTTATTTGAAAAGGCCATTAAAATTAATATATTCGAGGAAAACACAATGAAAAATGCGCGCTTATTTTACTCTCTTATATGCTCGTTATGCGGGCTTTCTGCATTATCAAACACCAAGGTTATTTTTACTGATTTTGAAGAAGGCGAGTGACGAAACACTAGTAGACAAGAGTCTGCACTTGAAAATTTCCTACTTAATTAACTATATAAAAATTGAAATTATAAAGATGAAATAAACAGCTGGTTTCTGTTCGTAATATATGATTAGCCCCTTTAATTGTAAGCTGCAGTCACTTGTCTGCAATCTATAATATGACTGAAGCGCGCAAATGCAGGTGGTGAGACTTGTTTATATGTCACTTGCTTTTTTAAAGTGAATGAAACGTGCAAAAATTAATTTTCACAGCATCAGTCGGAAAAGAAGTGAATTTGAATGAAAGTAAGAAGTAAATGGCTTTACAAGTAAAAGTGAATAGGAATAATGGTGTGTAGAGACACCCCTCCTCCATTGCGGGCCAGTTGACTTCTTCACTGTCACCACAGGAACCCCAATCAACATTTTGTTATGCCTCATTACGCATAACAAAAACAGGAAAAATTTGCATGTGTGGCGGACCGACAAAAATGGCAGGCGATACACGACTTGGTTCTTTCTTCAAAATCCAGCTGATTTACTCTTGTTGGATGTTCATAAAGAACGTAAGTCGTACAGTAACGTAGCATTGCACGATATTTCGGCGATAAGTATGGTATTCTAGCTTAAATAGTTGGTGAGTGGTTGCACCCTAATCAGTATTGATAATATAAACAACGTTAACCTAAGCATCATTCTGTATGAAGTGGAAATACTACTATAAGATTGTATATAAGTTACAAATACATGTTATTTTCTCAACAACAGACAAATATATAACTCTTATTTTAATCTTTACTTTTAAAAACATTTTCATCGTAACATTTTCATATTCCCCAGGATACGAAAAAGCACCTTGAAAAATGTATTTTCAATTTTGAAACAGCAGCTGAATAAATTAGCCTATAATTCTTAGCGGCAAATATTATTTTTACAGTGTAATAATTCTGTTGTTTCTTTTAGGTGGATGGATATCATTGTCATCCCGATTGGTACGTATTGATATGGTTTTTAATTTGTACAAATTTACTCTTCGAGACAACACTTAGCCTGCATATATTTTAACGATAACAAAAATACAAAGGAACGATTTTGATACTAGAGTTATCTTACTTGGCCCGTGGAAAAAAAAGCAGTAAGAATATTACTTATTAGTAGACGCAAATTATTCAACTTTGTTTACATGTAACGGGCCAAGTATAAAAATCACTATATCTATAGGGCCTAGGTGGAATAGCTTGATAGGCTATTTTGAAATTAGGCTAGTAAGGAAAGTGTTTTATTGCTGTTTTTTTACATTGTTAAGGAAAACAAAATCTGATTACTGTAATTATTTCAAAATACAGGTGTAACTACAATGAATACTGTTGTGGAGATGATATGTGTTGTGATTATTTGACAGGATACTGGTATATATGGTAAGATAATTATCAGCTATGAATTATTAACGATTATTAATACTATGTACGCTCATATGAGCAGGCTGTATGGAAGGGAGACGTTCTTAGGAAGATAATAGAATGGGGATAGAATGAGAGGAAAAGGAAAGACCTTCCATTTCCTCCTCTTTTGCTCCCCTTTTCCTTTTCCTTGCTTTGGAAATGTATTTTTCCGACCAACTTAAATTTCACAAATTTTTAAACAACTGAAAAGGGTACCTTTTACTTTCCAAGGTTGATTGGAGGTGTCATGATCTTTTCATTTACTATGGTCTGTTGCTGGATGAGATGTTTCAGACTACGTTCTCAAGAATCACATGACCACCCCAAAGGATATGTCTCATATGGCTTGACATCAAACTATGGAGAACCTCTATATGTACACCAGCAACCACACGGCCATTACTATGGAGCAGCACCTACAGAAATGCAGTACATTGCTACAAGCAGGAAGGGAGATATCCCACAAACAGAAGAGGAAGCAAGGCTGCGATCAGCTGCATACTATCCTCCACCATATACTTATGTCGAGAGAAAGCCTCCTACTGCACCTCCATATGAGCCTTAGAAGTTTGCATTAAAAATTGTATCTGATATCCTGTTGAATTTTGGGTTGGCTATCACTAAAGTCCTACATAAAGGTTGGGGTAATGTAATGTAACCCATGAAGTGTAGCATTATCAACTAGTGTTTTTCCTGCTTGATGGAATCGGGGTAAGAAATGTTAAATGAGAATTAAGCCTGCATAATATTATATTGTCACCACCTGTCTAGCAGAAAAAGAAAATAGGGAAAACAAAGCATAAAATGAAGGGGTTTAACACAGTCAAGTATTTTCGAAACATAATGAACTATTTTCATTGGTGTAATAAATTATGAATTATAGACAGAAAAATAAACAAATTTTTGAACAATTCGTGAATATTATAATAAGTATTAAAATTATATCAGTATCAGGTCCATGTTGGAATACACCAATTCCACATTCATTACTCTACCTCCTTAGTTACTGTTGCTACGTCAGACAAGATAAAAATCTGTCTTGATATACAGCATGGAACAGACACTGATTGCTGAACATTGTAAATGTCTGTCTTAGAACCAATGCATTCCAAAGGTATATTAATTAAGAAGACTCGATAACTACTAAAAAATCTTATGGATTTCAGTTTGTTGGTCGGACATTCTGTATTCCATTGGGAAAACTACCCATCGTTTGGGTGGACACTCATTATAGCTGGGATCAGTCTATAGCCCATGTTTGATATCTTTAAATTCAGACTTTATCGCAAGGGTTTAGTTATATAATACTTCATGTATGGTACAAAAACATGAAATGTAGGATTTGGGATAAAATGTATAGATTTGAATAAAAAACATGACCTTTTGGCTAAAACTAGTGATAGCCTTCATCAAATACTCCAGTTAGCCTGGATATTATGATATCCAATATTTATGAAAGGAGTGTTCAGAGAGAAATTAATTTTTTTTTTATAAATTCCTCTCATTTAAAGTGGTCAAAATTAAATCTCTTACTACTACTAATAATAATAAATACGTTCTTATATAGCGCATTATAGATTCTCAATGCTCTTTACAAATATTACGATGAAATGTTAAGTGAAAAAATAGATTAAAGTTACAAATTGAACAAAAATGTTTTTAGTTTTCTAACCTCCCTGTAGACCCCATATTCCCATTTATAATTTTCAAAACAATTTATATTTGAATTGTCAATGTTTTTATCAGCTTTTTAAAGATTATTGATGAAAACATAAGATCATACAAAATAATATTCCATTTACATTACGTGGTGTTATTTGTCATCTTTCTGTCTTTTAGTATTTGTACTATCATCCTCAGCTGCAGTTGGTTTTAAGTGTCGCATACTGCGCGATACCTGAAAATATGTAACATTTATTTATATATTATCATTTATTTGGTGCTTGTTGTCATTGGCACTTAAAACTGTTCTTTGCAGACAGTTGAATGCAATAAGCCTTTCTGGAATTAGGAAGGGGATTGGGGCTGAGTGAAAATATTTATCTCATTAACAAATGATCCCCATCATACAAAAGATCATAATGATATTAGTACTATAACCAAGTTTGAGCATGTTTGGATGAATATCTACCCAGTGGCAAGCGTTTAGAAATTGTAAAAATGAGAAAGAAAGTACATAATTATGCATGTAAAATATATGTATATCTCATAGGCATTACACTGATCCTTTGAAACGACAGGTTCATGTCAGAGGAGAATTCAGGGGAGGTAAAAAAGGTGGCTAGTCACCCCCTTTTTGCTCAAATTTCTTAGTATATTGTTAGCAAGTGTCACGCCCCTTTTCCTCAAACTCCTGGTAAAACCTTTGTAATGGTAACCCCCTTCTATAATTCCTGGATCCGCCCCTGCATGTAATACACACTATAGACTTAAGTTGTATCTGTGTATATTTAGGATGTTTGTTGATAGCTAAGGTTCTATTTTTGCCTGTAGTAGTTTCCAAAAATGGTTTTATAATTGTTATCATTAATTAATGGTTACTTACCTTTCCAACTTGTGAAAATGACCTTTTCTTGATTTGCTCAAGTAATTTTGCCCTTGTCGCAGACTACAATGAAAGGATATAATATGATTACTGGTAGCTAGACAGGGATAAGAAATAATGCTGTTTGGTTCCAGCTGGACAACATTTAGCCAGTATATAAATAGTTACAAACCTCTGTCAAAGTGTTTTGTGTTAGGTTATCCATTGCAGATACTCTTGGTCTGTTTTTCTCAAAATTATCATCCGGTATCATAAGGATAGTGCTTTTCCTTTGATTCAGGACATGCTGTTTACAACAAGATATGCCATCAGGTACGATAAAGCAATGAAGTAACAAATATGACTAGGCTGAAATATTTTAACTGATATACATTCATCATGCAGAGTACACTGTTATGATCCTTAGATCAATATAAAAAATCTATTAGTTTTGGTCATATTAGAGCATCACAACAGAGCCTAAGCTCCTTAAGATATGAAAGCCCAAAGATCAAATTGGAATTTGGTAGTTGATTTTTAAGGAGAGAGAAAAACTGGAACACGGCAGTGTTCTAGAGAAAAGACCACAAAGTAAAGGAGAGAATCGACAAGCAACTCCCCTCACATTGCAAACTGAGCTGGGAATTCAACATCACATTAGTGAGAGGCGACGCATCATATTTATGATCATAGCAAAGATAACACTCAATTATCATTTAACCCAGTTGTTGAGATTCTGTAAATGAAGAGATTGTTAGAAGCATGCTATTAAAATTTTTCCCTACTAAAATAAACATATAGAATAATGGTTTCATAATACTGTACCTTAAGGCATCTATTTTGTTTCCATTTATCAAATGTTTCTATGTCTCTAAAAACAATAATTATTTAGCAAGTAAAAGTAAAAGTAAAAGTAAAAGTGAAAGTGAAAGTGAAAGTGAAAGTAAAAGTAAAAGTAAAAGTAAAAGTAAAAGTAAAAGTAAAAGTAAAAGTTATAAAAAAAATTCCTTTTTTTCTTGAATTTTAAAGTCTAAGTGTTAGCACTCTTTCCAAAGCCGGGAAAGTTTTTTTAATGTATCGGTCAAAAAGTGGGTTAGAGGATAAGAGTCGAAGGGGATCTATAGAATATCTTTCAGAAATATTAAAAAAATCCAAATAGAAAAAAAAAAAGATAAAAATACCTTGCAATATCCACAGCAAGGCCTGTATGAACAACATCTAAAGCACTCTTGCTAAGACTGGTATCTTCAAAGGAGAAAAGTCTTTCTCTTGTGTTTTGGTATTTATTATGAATTTTGTGTATTCGCTGAAAGAAGAAAACATCTCTCCAGTCAAAACTGCAAGGCTAGTATAACGATACTTCACCAAGATAATATTATAGTAGTAATAAATTATGCGTTCGGTGTGTATATAATGAAATAGAGAGAATAAGAGAAAAATATCAAATGCCCTTGGCAGGATTCGAACCCACGTCTTCGGTATTCTAGTCCGATGTGTTAACCACTACACTACAAGGACCAACCACGATGGTAACGCAGCCGGAATATGAAATGTAGGGTACTCGTGAGGATCCCAGAGCAATATTTTTTCTTTATAGATAAGTTGAACACCGTAAATATGTACGCAAAGAATAGACATAGTATAGTAGTAGTAAATTATGCGTTCGGTGTGTATATAATGAAATAGAGAGAATAAGAGAAAAATATCAAATGCCTAAGATATCAAGATAATATTAGGTCATTTGCAGGGCATAATCACATGAGTGTTACTTTCCTGCCTTAAGTAGAGTCTCCTGTGTTGGCAATTCTTGCTAAGAATCATCAACATAGGAGACTCTGCAAGCAGGGAAGACATTACTGGCTGGCAAAAAAATTCAGATTTTCTTTGTTTAAATAACATTTGCTGCATTTAACGTCATATCCAAAACCTTAACGGTTAGAGCCAGGCTGCTGATTTATTCTGACTGTACGTGGCTGCGTGATGTGGTCCGTACAGTATACAGTCAATTCAAAAAACGTTGTCCTCGACCGGCTAAAGCCTACACGACTGGACCGAAAGGAAAATGGGTAAAAAYCACTGAAGCGGTTAAATATTCGTTCTGAATTAATTGTTCTCGCTAGTAATAAGATAATAATGGCGAGAAACAATCCATCAAATGCATGTCTTTGGGTTTAGGGAAAGAAAAACAAAGTAGTTATGATTCAGTTCACAATTTCGAAAATATGAAGGCATTGAAAAAATATTTCCTTCAACGCTTCCCGCTCGCCTACGAAGGTTCGTGCTGTAAACCAGGCATAACTAGTCAGATAAAATTATGGAGTCAACTCGGCTTCAATGATTTCTACCCAGAGTTCCTTTCGGTCCAGTCGCGTAGGCTTAAGTTGGTCGACGACAACATTTTTTGAATTGACTGTATGCTTCACCCATTGTACCCGTGCCAACCATAGAGTCTCCAGTAGCTCAGTGGTTAGAGCCTCCAACTAGTATCTGGAGGGTCATGGGTTTGATTCCCGTCTGGGGCTCAGATTTTATTCCAGAGTCAGACGTTATTCCAATCTTCTTTCATATGTTATTCTATTCTATTCCTTTATCCAAAACCTTAACCATAATATTTTTTTCTCTTAGAAATACTTAGCATAAAAAAATTGTTTGCCATCTGGAAGTGCTATATCACTGTTCTTCAATAAGAATTTGAACTTGCAGCTGAATTGATAGCATTGGTATGTCTGGTTGACAAATACCTTTTAAACCAGTGTTTATTTTGTTAATTCCCCCTTCAAAGACAACAAGCACAGATATTGTGTGGACTTGATAATCCTTTTGTATTCACAAAATGTGTACATGTATCATGTACTGTATATAATGTTGCAATACATGAATGAAAGGATTTACAGCACATTTCATGTTTCTGTGACCTACAGATGTCTGATATTTTGGCCTCCATCAATCATATTTGCAATGAGCTGGGTACATTCTGATCGTGAGGGATAAATATTCTCATGACTCAACAGCCTGTTGAGTTGCTGGAATATTTATCACTGGTGATTCGAATGACAAGGAATGCACTCCACCTGTCCTAAATTTAACTGACAGGCCAAAACATTGGACCTATGGAGTTGGTTCACAGGGTTCGTGCTGAGGTAACCACTTAAAATTCAAGTACTATTCAAGGAGTATACAAGGACCCAAAAATGAATTTGCAAGGAGTATGTTCAGCTAACTATGCCAAGGTTTTACACAGTGGTTGCACATGGCAGACTTTCAGATTTTTCAATCTTTCTGACTAGATCTATTTCAGAACCTTGCAAGTAACGATCAAAGCAAAAATTCAACGAGTTTTCAAGGAGTTTTGCTAAAATCGTAAAATTCAAGAGCTTTTCAAGTGCCCTTGAAAACGTAAATTAAATTCAAGGAGTTTACAAGGAGTTAAAGGAGTAGCACGAACCCTGGTTCAGTTATAGAAACACGAAACAGGCTGTAAAATTCACCATCACAGTCTTCAACTTGGAAGGGTGGAAATTTAGTTGTACATACTAGGTAGCTTAGTAGTACAAGAGAATATAATTATTACTGAGTCATTTATATATTTTTTTAGAGAACTGCAGTACACATACCTCTAGCATTCCACATGTTTTATCTATTACTTGATCAGCTTCAAGTGCTATTGCAGCAGTATGCTCTCCTTCTCTAGATGTAATGCCATCTCGTGAGCCATATGCAATCTATAGGAACATGAAGCATGACAATAGGATATTCAAAAATCAATAGGTCAAGTTAATTAAATAATTTTTAATAATACAATAAAACATATTGTAAATAGAGGATAACACTTGACAGTAAATCAGTTGAGTGATAAACTCATGGTCCTCTTTTAATGTTTCTAGTTGATTAGCGATAGGACTGCAATTAACCTGGTCCAAGCCACATGAAGGTCTAACTATTTGTAAATGTAATTACAAAGGCAGCACCATTTCCTCAGTTATTTTAAGACCCTGAGTGTTGGTCTGGCTGGGACTCTAACCATATTCTCCCATACAACAGACCAACGCTCTTACCAACGAAGTTAACTGGGCAGCTTACAATAATTGTCAAAAATCAATTGAAATCATTTGGTCACATAACACAGATCAATGAATGTTGTCAATCACTTTTAACTCACCTGGGTTGGTAAGGCACAAAACAAAAATGCCTTTGAGTTTTTTAACGATCTTAGAATGAAATCTGCATCATGGTGCTACATGGAAATAAATAAGTATTTAGCCAAGTATAGACTGATTGATTCCATAAGTCCATCTCAGTTCGCTCTCTGAGCATAAATGAAAACTATGACTTATGGAATCAGTCTAAGCCAAATTTAAAAATTTTTTATTTATTTACTTGGTTTTCTAGTGAGGACAGGGGCACCACAACAACAAAGCAAATTACTGTGTGCACTGTATAGTGACTATAAACACATGTACTGAAGTAGGTCATCACCAGCATCTTCAGTGGGTTTTTATAGCTGCATTATAACAGGGTCATATTGAAGTCAGACAGGGCCAATATTGGTTTTAAGTCTTGTCCAAGGATTACAAGAATAGAAATATAACAAAGATGGTGGAGACATTAAACAAATTTGTAAGTGGGGTTGGATTCCTATTTTAATATAAGGCTTGTTAATTTGTTTTCCATTTGTTCATTTGGGGTGGATCTTTCTCTGATTATGTGAATAAGAGAGGAAGGGTTTCAGCAATAATTTAAAAAAAAAAAATTTCAAATTATGGTATAATGTAATCATTAGTTAAATTTTCTGATATTCCTTATATAAATCCCAGGCAATACAAGATGGATTCAGTACAGTAACCAATAATAACTAGTTAAGACACTAACTTTGAGATAAATTAACTCTTCATGTAGATCTTTCAGATTATTCCATGTTAGTATAGTCATTCTTATCTGCAACAAAAAGTAAATACAGTATGATTCATGTTGATCCCACTCCATCGATCAAACTGATGTCAGATTGATAATTAATCCTTATTACTCCCAATAAAAAAAGTGATAACAGATAATTTTGAATGGGGTATGGGCGTAAGGTGAGGACTTGAGTGTTGTGTGTCTTTTTTGTGTGGAAACTTAAAGTCCTAGAGCTTTTCTTAGCTTGACAAATAAGGTGTTTTCTGGTCTGGCTTTAGCACAGGTAGCCCATACACTTATGATGGGGGAGCGTCATCTAAACCTGAATGAAATGAGCTGAAATTAAGCCATGGGGCTGTTCAGTGCATCAACAACTCACAGTGAGAGTTTTCTTTGATTTTATTGATTTTCAAGCAGAAAAATGATTCAAAAATACCCATATAATCTTTGTCTGTCTGTCTGTCTCTTGATTGATTCAGTTATTCAACACTAACTATGAGCCTGGGCTACCTGTGGCTTTAGTACAAAAAACACCTTATTTTAAGGCATGTCAAAAAACAAAAAAAATATGTCACCAAAACTAGACCATTATTTATTATGCTCAGTGCACACCTTCTCCATTTCTTCAACTAGAACATACCTTAATTTTAGGATTGCAAAGCTGAGTACTATACACACCATACAGTGCATAGATAGCACCTACTCTATATATGAATGTACAGGATGGTGACAAGTAGGATAAGATTATACGGTAGAGATACTCTGTTATCTGGAAATAGAAAAAAACACAGAATATACAATAACCTCATAGGAATGGACTACCACCCTCATAGTAGTGTACATCTAACATGCATGTCTCCATATCATTTCAGAAGTTATAAATAAACTGAACAAAAACCAATAGATATTTGAATTATTGCTGTGAGCTATCAGGCGAGCAGCAACACTAATCTTGCATATGTGGTCTTCCTGTGTTACAGATGATAGCTAAAATCTTGATTTGATAAATTTTGTGTCAGTTTGTGGAGATGATTTTCAGAGCCTTCAGTACTTTTGACCTGGGGTCATTAAATCTTGCATTTGAACACGTGCCTGGGGTCATTACAGCCATTTTCAATTACATGCACCGCTCTAGGAATTGTTTTTTTTGCGACGAAGTATTTTTTGGTGGATGTCAATCAAGGCGTTTCCATGACATTATTTAGGCACGTGCCCTTATAGCTTCGAGTTTTCTGACAATTTTATAGAAACACCTTGTTCTTTGTCGCGACAGAAATAATCGCTAGAGGGAGTAATTGAGAATGGCTGTAAATCATGCATTTGAACACTTGTGTTTATCAAGCTGTGGCTTGTCAAGTTTAAATTCTGATTTCATTGTTCTGGGATCATTAAATCATGCATTTCAACACGTGTGTTTATCGAGCTTAATTCTGATTCATTTGTGGTTCACTCATCTAAGTAAAGTATTTCATTGTTAAATTATGTCATACTTCAATTTATCTATTGCTGGAAGTATTCATCGAGGTGACGAACGATTTAGCAAGCTTTCAAAGGGAAGACAATGTTCTCTTATGAGCTTTTCAGTGCTGTTAAGTGCCCAGTCGCTGCCAGTTCTGTAATGGCAGACCGAAAAAATCAACAAAATCCTAATGCAAGGAGACTTGTTGTACTTGAATGCTCTTGAAAGCAGTCTTATTCCAGACAAAGAAACGCTGTCCCTTAATTATCCGTGTTCGACATCCTTTAGAGGTGTATCCCCTGAACCCAAAAACCCCTCTTTGTATGAGCCATTCCATTTCATATGTGTTCCTCCCTAATAAGGGGTCTGGATATCCATGGGGGAGGGGGAGGTTGTCTTTATGGCTTATAACCAATAGGATGACACCTATTTTAATGGTTAACTGGTTAACCAAAGCTAAGTTGGCTTATAATAAAAGTGAGTTTACCTTACAAACTACAACTGAATTTATAAGACTCAAAAACAACTTACTTGAATTCGACCATTGGCATCTTTTCTCCCACTAAAAACAACCAAAAAGAAAGGCACAATTTATAGTTGTCAGTTCCAGGTCATTTATCAATCGTTATCATGTCAAGAAGGACAAACGGAACATTCACTGCTTACCAATGTATAAGTGAAAAGTTCATCTCTCTCCATAATTCAGAAAATACTTCGAATCTCACTGTGCCACGGCTTTCGAACCGAGATAACAGCAAACGACAATCTTCTACCAAACCTTCTGCCATTTTGGTTAACTTGACACAGGCAACCCAAGCAAGGACTCGATATCAACTTCGAGTCTGGGTTTCCTGTGGTACGGAAGGGTGGGGCACTTGAGGGAATTGGGTGTATCGAAAAAGGTACTGCAGAGAAAGTAGGCTTATTCTTTTGTTGTTGGATAGAACCCCGGGATAAAAAGCTATGGGAAAGCGAAAGGCAGCACATAGCCCCCTCCAGGATAAAATAGAACGCAAAACCAAGAGAATACGAAGAGAAATACGTCCTCAGAACGAAACAGAGACTGGAGCACAGAGCAAGCTTATGTCTGTCACACAACTTGTTCACAAAGTACAGCAAACGTTTGCTAAAAATGCAAACCAGAAAAATGCAGTTATGAGGAAGAAGTACATGAGAAACCAGTTCGAGTTCTTTGGTCTTAAATCGCCCCTTAGAAGGTCAGTAAGCAAGGAGTTTCTTAAGGTTCGTTTTAGTGTTGGAGAAATGAGACAACTCTTGGAAAAACTGTGGCTGTTACCAGAGCGTGATATGCAGCTGTTTGGAATAGACTACCTTGATAAACACATTAAAAGCTTTGGGGACCCTGTAGAAGAGCTTGATTCTAATCTTGAGTGCTTAGAGTATCTGATTGTCAATAAATCCTGGTGGGATACAGTGGATTTGATAGCAAGTCATTTTGTAGGGTATATGGTGAGGACCCATCCAGACAAAGGAAAACCTTTGATGGAAAGATGGATCGAGGATGACAACATGTGGCTAAGACGTACAGCACTTTTACATCAGCTTTCCTATAAGGACCAAACAGATGAAAAACAGCTTTACAGATTTTGCCTTTCAAGAGCACACGAAAAAGAGTTTTTCATTCAGAAAGCCATGGGCTGGGCTTTGAGGCAGTATGCTATGACCAAGCCCTCTAGCGTAAAGACATTTTTGCACAAAAATAAGACTATACTTAGTAAACTAACTTACAGAGAAGCTGCAAAGCACCTAGGTGTCTGACAAGTTAACTACATGTAAATGGGATAAATCCAACATTGAGATATTTTTTTATAATTCAAAAATAACATCACATTCTGGGCCCCTCTCCACGATAAAGGTCTACTCTAAGGATCTAGGATTTTGAACCCTACATTCAGGGATCAACCCCTCCACCCTTGACCCATCTTTTCATTTTTCTTTATTTTATTTTTTTGCATCAGGAGCTTTCTACTTCAGTGAAGCCATTTTAAGAGTTAAAACTACTATTTGACGAATCAATAAAATAAAGATTAACAAATGCAAGCTGTCAGCCTAACTAGATTATCGTGATAAATAAGCATAAGCACCCTGATATAACCCATCAGCCCTTGTTCACACCCAGATTTTCGGGAAGCACCAACTCTAAAGTGCTTAAAAATCATTTTCGCTTAGCAGTTGGGGTAGAAGCATGCAACATAGCTCAAAATTTTTGTACATGACAACAGGATATTACTTTCTGCTACATTTTCTACTCCATCACAAGGCCATTTAAAATCACTCTATTATGGAAGACATAAATTTCCCCTGACAAACCTTGAAGAAAGGCAATATAAGATTCATATAACTCGCTATTTCTTGAATAGTTGGTGCAACTTGTTTAAAGACTACTAGAATGAAACTTGATTCTTAGCCTCAGTGACACAATATGGCCCTCAGGGCTCAACAGAATCTCTTTTTTGCCATAGCCATGTACCATGAAAGCAGAATTTATTTAATGGGAAAGTACGAACCCAGGCTGCATAAGGGTTCATCCCTTTGTCAGTTTGCATAATTTCCAATGTTCGGGGCTATTGACAAATGTGTACTCTGTCTGATGGTGGGGATTTAGAATAAATTTCGATATTAGAATTGCAATAGTAAATTCAATTTTTAATGTACTATCATAACTTCAGGTTAGAACAAAAGAAGTTAGACTACAAGATCATTATAAACTCATTTTAATGCAGTAATTATCTGACAATGACTTTGTTCAATGGTACAATACTTCTTGCAAAAATCTATTGCTTTTACTGCATAAGACAGTGTTGTTGAAAATCAGCTACACATTGAAACTTGAAACTTTAAGCAAAGTACATAATGGTTGCTTTTAATAATTGTTATTCTTTCAAATACACAAATCCCACAAGATGTCACATTTTACAATTTTACAGATAAACAACACTTGTTTCCATGTAGAAGCAAAAAGTGTTTATTCTTTAGCATAATCAGGATTTTTTTTCTCAATTTTGGAGTAGTCTGATTGAGTATAAAGCTGTAAATAAAATAAACAGGTTCAGATAATGTATTAATCCCTGATTCACTGGTCAGTAATAAATAAGGTTAGCATTGACTCAATGACAAGGACTAGTGCAATTCTAGAATTCAATAGCAATAATTAATCATCCTAAAGGCAAAATTTAAGTATAATCAGTTAAAAATCCTACAGAAAATAGGAAAAATCTGTGAAAAGTAGTACAATAATAGGAAAGTTGGATGATGACATTCTGCAAATGCACAGCTGATAATTTCCCCTTTTTCATAACATGTTACTGCAATTTTTTAAACATGCGAATTCTGTGTCTACAAGCTGCAAGCTGCAATTTGGATTTTCACTGCCGTCAATCAAATCTAATATTAGTTGGTACCTTTCATATTTTTGACTGTCACACATAGTTCGCATGTTTAGGAAAATTGCAGTAATGACCATCAACTGATAAATATAATTCAACGGGACATTTTCATTGATCCTATACTCCTCAGGTTGCCCACTCCAAGGAAATTAGGGGATAATCTTTAAAAAAAAATCAAAACATGTTGCTAAAATAAACTTACCCTACGCTGTTCATTATGTTTTACTTTATTCCAGGGATAAGGGTTGTTCTTTTTGTCAAATCTAAATCAAACAACACAAAAATTAACTTTCAACTGGAATTCAAAAACCACACACAAAAATTCAAGAAGTAATTGATTGCTATAAATGACCTCTACTGTAATTTAAGTTGACCACATGTTACTATTTGAAGTTACCACTTATCAAGTCAACACCACTGGTAATAAAGTATAAATATAAAATAATTATGATGTAGATTTCTATTTTGTTGTGTTACGACGAAACACCTTTCTGCCATATAATGACCTTTAGAAATTCTACTTACGAAGCATCTGGATGATAAATTGCTGTGCGTCCAATAAACCAAGCACAGCCTACACAGCCAGCACCAACGCAGACAAACAAAGGAACCAACTAAAACCCAAAAAGAAAAATAGTATTTGTATTAATGTAACAAAGTCTACTATATGGGATTTCTTCTTGGGGTGCAACCGCATGACTCAAAATCTCTTGAGATATGAATAACAACAAAACAGCTGCTATTTTGGTTGACTAATGAGAGAAGCTACAGTGTAACTAGGAATGCTTTGTTATCGTCAACCAACAAGACTTAGCATGATCCCCAAGAATTGTATGGTACCAGAAAATATCCATACCCTACCATTGAAGAAATTTAAAGGTTCCCCACCCCTTGGGAATTTCCAATTTCTTCCATACGAATCTTTTAATTTTGGTTTTCCTCTGTCATCAACCCCCTGGGAATTTCCCATTTCCTCCATGGTGGGGTATGGATATTTTTCAGAAACACAAATTGAGAGATTCTGTAACAACAAAGAAATTATAGCTATAGTATTTCAGGATTTTCATTATTATCCAGACTCTATGGTCCTCGTTTGTTTGTAAATTTTTTTGTATTTTTCTTGTGTCATAAATCAAAGTATGATCACTAACTATAGTAGATGTTATACTCTTGATTGGTGGTCAAGAAATCAGCCACTTCATAACGACTAAAGTTCTCATAGTACTGAAAATTGCAATAAGGCATGTTTATTTAGCAATTTTTACATGTACGCAGCACTGTACAATATTCTTACAAAGCATAAGCTTACCATGTACACCGTAAATGAACTAGCTACTACGTGTAAGCTTAAGATCAAACAAATAAACGAAACAACTTCATGTATTTTATTGAGAACATAACTCAATCCTTCAATGATTACTATCTCTTTAGAAAAGAGACAAAAACTGGTATAGAGTCATGCGTGAGACAGTGCACGTTCGGCCATTTCAAATTACACCTCTATGTATCTCAAATAAACCAACAATTTTTAGTGAGTAGCAAATAACATACCTCAGGATATCTCCTTAAATACGCAAACACCATGGTAGTAATTAGATGACGGGTTTAATACTGAAAATATGTTCAAGTTTGAAGAAACAACTACCACTAACCAAGATGGCGGCCGAGGAAGAGTGACGTCAACGAGGTATAAAATTCCCAGTCTCTCTCAACTCTGGACACAGGAAGACCAAAACATTTCCAAAATTCAGAAAGATAAGAGAAACATCAAATAAAATTAACAAATAGACATAAAGTTAACATTTTAATCTGTTTTTCATCTCTATTTAGAAAGCTAAAGATAGATGATAAAAGTTTTAAAAATTTTAAAGTTTTTATTATTATAAATTGGGCACCCTTAGTCGAGATTCGGCTGGGTAGTACCCAGGACCTTGAAAATCCAACATGGCGGTCGTAATCAGACGAACTTTTACTCAGACAAGATTTCAGGTAAAAAAAATGGCTTTTACTTCTTGATTTTAATGTATTTTTATTTCATAAATACGACTTAAAATTTCTGAATTTGTATCACTTTTTATTTGTGACGAACTGGGAAAAATTGCCACAGCTTTGACCCGGGAGCTTTGACCTTTCCTGTTCTTGTTTTGCTATCAGAAAAAATATCCTGTATTTTACTATTCTAGGTCATATCAAGGCTCTTCGTTGCCAACTCCACTAATCCAAGCCACATTTTAGGATCAATATGTATCATACCTAACAGAACAAAGATTAGCAAGACTTCCCCATTTGGAAAGAGACCCAATCCAAAGGAAGCCCAGCGCGAGAATTTTGTGAAAACGAACCCAAATATTAAGGATATGGTTGGAAAAAACACATCTACTCGCTCACCACCTGTGATTATAGATAGTACTGGTGAGTAGGTGTTGTATACTAGTCAGTTTGATAGAATACCACCACCCTCCCCCCCC